TGTGTCTCCCTCCTTCTTCCCTCCCAGTGATAATGGTCTGGCTCTCCCCCTTAGCCTCTCGTCTACGGTAAACAGGTCCTGAAGATGACACAAACAGATGCGACTTTGTTTACGCTCGTGCTCCGTCGTGCCCGTGACGTCAACAGCCCGGTGGTTAATGAGGGTAAATGACTTGTAAGTTAGGAGGGAGGGAATTGGAGATAACCACCTGAAGATTAGACTCCCTGACGTTACCCTAACCTAACCTGTCTAACTTAACCTAACCGTAGCCTAACTTAACCTAAGATACCGTAAAGTAACTTTCCTAGCCTAACCTAACTAATCTAACCTACCTTAACCTAACCCCAGGTATATTGAGGCGAAATAATCTTGGAATGTCTAATCTTCAGGTGATCAGAAATCTGCATCATTGAATAACCTGTAATTAGCTCCCAGATACTCGTCATAAATGTCTCCGGCAACCCTATAGTAAACTCTTATTGAACCACTAACCATTCCGACACCTCGAATCGTCTGACACAATCACGATTCAAAGAGGAAAACAAGTGACACTATCAATGAACCACTAATCACCTGACACAATCACCTCAAATCACCTGACACAATCACGGCTCAAAGAGGAAAACAAGTGATAACATCAATGAACCACTAATCACCTTGAATCACCTGACACAATCACCTCAAATCACCTGACACAATCACGGCTCAAATAGGAAAACAGTGTAACAGTATAGGATAATGAGGAGTCTCACTACCACACGATATACTTGTGATAGGTGGGTTGAGGGTGAGAGGGTGGGTGAGGGTGAGAGGGTGGGTGAGGGTGAGAGGGTGGGTGAGGGTGGGTGGGTGGGTGAGTGGGTGGATGGAGGATGGGAGGTGAGGACTTCCCGGGAGTGACTGCCCTAGCCTTGACCCCTCCCTCACCTCCCTCGTGGGTTCATGTGACAGACCCGCTACCTCCCCCTCCTGGGTTTTGGAGGGTGGTGGATCTTGTGGTGGGGCCTGAGTGTTATTGTCGCGTATTACTCACTTCCTCCCGACCAACGTACTGCTTCATACATCTTAACTACAAGGTTATCTGAGAGTACCGTTGCCCCCCCCCCTCCTCTCCATCTCTCTCTCTGCTGCGTATGTGGAGCAGTAGTGTGTGTGTGTGTGTGTGTGTGTAAAAATCACACACACACACACACAGATGGAACTGGACGAATTGAATGAAAAGTTGAGAAATATTCCTCGAAACAGTACATAAAAAAAAAGAGACACAACTCAAAAGTACCAAGAATAAACTAATATATACACAGGTAAGGCTGGAACACCTGGGAACACCTGTATGTACCTGAAGTATACACAGTATATATTTTAGACCACAGATATACACAGCCATGATATAAGTACCGTATAGAAACTAGAGACGCGAGCAACATAACTCTGGGTGGAACAGGAAGATGGGAGAGGTAGAAGAGGCAGCAGGGAGAGGAGAAGGAAAGGGCATGGTTGTTGTGAGGTGGAAGAGGCAGCAGGGAGAGGAGAAGGAAAGGGCATGGTTGTTGTGAGGTGGAAGAGGCAGCAGGGAGAGGAGAAGGAAAGGGCATGGTTGTAGAGATGAGGTTTTATAACCACAACAAAACAACAACAAGGTCAGAAAGAGGATGAGAGACAGCAGAGGACCCTGAAGGACGCTGAGGGCGAAGATGCGTGGGAACTGGCCCTCGAGAACACCAAGATCAAGGATGGATAGATTGATCAGGGAGGATGGAGGGGTAGGAGGAGGAGGATGGACGATTGGGAAGGGGACGTGGAGGATTGAGGGATAGGAGGGTAAGGAGGATGGAGGGGTGCAGGAGGGCTTATTATAAGGGTAAGTAGGGCAGGTGGTAAAGGGTATATAATATAGTCAATAGAAGGAGTGTGTGTGTGTGTGTGTGTGTGTGTGTGTGTAAGTCCTTGAAACTATCCGACAATTGTGAGACAGTTTTCAAGGCCTGGAAGACCTTGATCTATACGAAGGTTATAAGTCAAGGTCCTGGAAATATATTATACCCTTGAAGGTGTTTATGATATACAATACTAGTACTGTTATGACTATATTTTATCATTATCTTTTTTAACAGAGGAAAATATTGTAAGAAATAACATATGGAGATTAAATTAAAGTGGAGAGAATGAAAGTATGTGTAATGTGTGTTATTTTGGTCACTGTTGAAGTATAAGTTTTGTGTGATGGGGACTTGGTGAGGCTGAGTTGTATGTTTACTGTTGTGCCTTTATGAGATAACCCAGGTGTGTGAAGAGCTCCCCGAGGCGGTGTGATCTTTCTCTCTCTCTCTCTATCAAACTGTGTAGCCTGAATATACATAGTTTTTTTAATAGAACAGAAAGAGATCAGACAAGTGTCAATGCCAAATCCATTCACCAGGGCGACGTTCAGTGGTTTAAAAGACATTTAAAGTTGGCCACTGTGAAGTGTGATAAAGAGTTGTGGTGGAGAGATAAAGATACTGTACATACATTTACAGTACTGTATATAGATGCTGATACGTTATAGTGAGTTTTATTAAATAGCTGGAAATTTCATTAAATACACCTAATAATAATCCTATATACAGCCACTCAGAAAAATAATGTTTACTTGGGTCGAGAAATTTCGGACTGAGCACTGCGGACTCCTGATGTCTCGGTGGGGTTGTCAAAATCCACCTTCTTTTGTGTCATATTGTCTCAACGCAGTTTTGAGAAGATAATTTTTGAGTGACTGTACGTGCAGTATTTTCATATATTCAAAGCTTCGTCATCGTACATAAGGACATCTTGACATATATATCCATTGTTTGGCCAGTCGGCTCTCGAAGGTCAGCAGGACTTGAGACGTCGACTGCATGATCAAATCTCTCAGACGGTCTTCACAGCTCAGGTTCTCCAGCTCTTGATATTTGCATTGTCCTCTGAACCTACAGGATTGACAGGATGCCTTTGATCGTGTGTGAACGCCATACTGATTGAGTGGTGTTCTACTGTACTGTATATGAACGCGAAAAAGGACTTCATACAACGACCGTCTGAACTTTTTTATGAGAGTCCATTACAGGGTACGAATAAATAACCTACTAATATTGGCTTATTGATCATTATCTATCAAATTTAAATATTAAATTTTATTCCACGACCAATTTGTACCTATTCTTTATTTAACATTATAACAATAGAGTTTAAGAGCAACGAAGAACAAAAACAAAACAAGTGACAGTCGCAATAAATGTCAGAACAACCCATCTTGCCCGCTAAGGTATAGAGAGTGAGGTTGAGAAGAGGATTCCCCTTTGTTGAGACATTGGATCCCACACAATGAGTCGAGGCGGTGTTAACTCTCTTTCTCGATGCTATTGTCTTACGCTAGTGTTTTAAACATTACATAACATCTTTATGGAGCTCATGCAAGTCTTTAATTTAGAGATAAACACTGAGGGTGGCTTTGATACGTGTGGGTCTATTTTATTTACTTGGTTATATATTTTATGTGTGTGGGGAGGGGGAGGTTTGACTGTGTTGTGAAGGTATTAAAAAAAAATGGTGGGTAAGAGTTTTATTGTAGTGAGGGTCTGGTAGAATTATAGGATGTCTTCAGGTAGATAGGAATTTATGGTACGGTACTCTCTCACACACAACAAAATAATGTTACCGCCACACCCTTTTTGATTGTGTGTGTGTGACTCCTGACACGGCACAGTTCTCCCAGCCAGTATTCGTAAACGCTATACACACACACACACACACACACACCTGTTACACACAACACAACAACAGGTGCCCGGTAGTCAACAATTATTTACACAGGTCACTAGGTTATTGTTATATCACCCACCACACCTGTTATATCACCCACCACACCTGTTATATCACCCACCACTGTTATATCACCCACCACACCTGTTATATCACCCACCACACCTGTTATATCACCCACCACACCTGCCAATGTGAATGCTGACAGGAAAGGTTCAGTGATTCGTTTAAACAAGAGACAAGACGAACTTTTATTACCTGGTTATGTGTTGAAGCAAAACGGAAAGCAAAAGTAAAATTAAATATATAAATATGACGAAAGCTTTGGAACGCATCATTTCATAATTCTTGATAGATAAGTTTGACTCTGCTGCAGCTGATCAACGTAGAGTTTTATATAAAGTGTCTTAGAGAAATGTGGAGTAGATGATTATTATAAAGAATGTTAGTTTGTTTTGTGGTCGTGTGTGTGTGTGTGTGCGTGTGCGTGTGTGTGTGTGTGTGTGTGTGTGTGTGTGTGTGTGTGTGTGTGTGTGATGAATTATTTTTGTCATGTTTTGAGGAAGGAGGAGAATTGTCAACTCTTTCCTGGTGTTATATGTCGGAACACACACACACACACACACAGTGACAACATCCACACCACTAACAGACCTTCCACCGTGTTGTAATGGAACCACCACTGCGCCACTAGGTAATGATGGCGCAGGCTGACTATAAACGGCTCCCTACGACCCGTTAAGTGTGGTGGAGACGCACAGCCAGGACTTTCACCTTCAGGAGGGAGTGGTGGTGGAGTTGTGGTGGTAGTGGATGGAGATGTGGTGGTGGTGGTGGAGTTTTGGTGGTTGTGGTGATGGAGGGAGTTGTCGCTGTTGTTGTTGTGGTGGAGGAGGGAGTTGTGGCGGTGATGGAGGGAGTTGTTGTTGTGGTGGAGGGAAATTGTACCACGTTGTCTGCCAGGGTCGCGCCGCCCTACACTGTGTACCATCACCACTAACTCCTACCCACGGGCGAGGTACAGACGGAGGTATGGATAGCGTGTATGAACATATATACGTTGGCATAGGAAAAAAATGCTCGACTACAGCGCCTCCCCTGTGTGGGTGGGCGTCTACTTAATGATACGGTTAGACATACACAGCCTATAAGACTATTGGCTCTGTTTAAGACGCTATAGGCTGGTGTTTCTATGTTGTTTACACCGAGTGACTCACCTCCTCGTCTGAGACTCTGACACACACGTGGAACATCTGACAGCCAGCTTCGGGGTCAGCGTAGTAGCCCCCTGTCGCCTTGTCACTGCAGGTGAAGTTGGTGTCTGGCAGCATATCTTGTGAGTAGTTGGGCGGAGGCTCCTGCGCCCCCACCAGCAGGAACAGGAGCAGTAGCAGCAGCAGGCGCGGCTGTAGGAACGGGTTGGACGAGAGGAGGCTGGCCAGACCTGTGAGGGGAGAGATAATGAGGATCATTATAAGAGCTTCAAGTCACACCGGTCTACGCTCCGTCATCCACAATTTCATCTTGTTCTGATCTGACTGCTAATGAATTTTTGTTCGTGAGGAACTGTCCACAGGCAGTGACCAGTTTGCTAGCCATTGATTTTATATATATATATATATATATATATATATATATATATATATATATATATATATATATATATATATATATATATATATATATATATATATATATATGAAATGTGTGTGTGTGTGTATATAATAATAATAATAATACATAATAATAATAATAATAATAATAATAATAATTAATGGTTTATTGAAAGAGCATGGCAGCCGGAAGGCTGAAAATATACTGATTACATAATTGGGGAATAGGTCACTTCATTGACAAATAATATACAAGTGTGTGTGTGTGTGTGTGTGTGTGTGTGTGTGTGTGTGTGTGTGTGTGTGTGTGTGTTGAGTTGTCTTTGCTATCCACCAATGCATCCTACATTAGCTAACTGAATTACCTTTTGGGATCAACGATCTCCTCATGACGCTCCGAGTCCTACTGAATAAATTCATGCCTTCTTCATCAGTACATACACCCCAACACTGGATGCGGTGGATGACACCAAGGAGGCCTTTTATGCCGATCTTGACGGAGTTCTAACCTCTATTCCCAAAGAAGATAAGGTTGTGCTCCTTGGTGACTTCAATACCAGAGTTGGTAGAGATGCTAACATTTGGCAGGGATTCATAGGGAGAAATGGACTAGGCAAGTGTAATCCCAACGGCCTACTCCTCCTCAGCAAGTGTGCTGCACACAACCTCACTATCACCAATACCTTGTTTAGGCAGGCCGACAAGTTTAAGGGTTCGTGGCAACACCCACGATCCAAACACTGGCATCTCATTGACTACATCATTGTCAGAGAAAGAGATCGCCGAGATATCCTCATCACCCGAGCCATGCGTGGCTCAGACCACTGTGACACTGATCATCGGCTCGTCAGAGCCAAGCTCTCACTTCACGTCGCCCCAAAATGGCGAAGGCAGCAAGCCTCTAGAAGAGGTTTTAACACTTGAGCGTCTGGAGGTTCCAGCAGTAACACATGCATTCAGGGAGCAGCTCGAGCATGGACTGATGAACAACCTGACAACAAACAACCCAAATCCCAGTGCCGAATGGGATATTCTCGGCACTGTCATGCGAAAAACCTGCAGATATCCCTCTGCCAGATCGAAAGAATACACCAGGACTGGTTTGATGAAAATGGCCAGGAAATCAATGTACTCGTCGATGATAAATGTGCTGCTTTAACTGACTGGAAAAACAACCCCCAGTCTCAGGCCAATCACTCATGGCGCAGCCCCCTTCCACTCATCCGACGGTAACTCCCTAATTAAAGACGAAAAGGGAATCAATCAGTGCTGGAAAGAGCACCAACACTCACTGCTCAACCGAAACACGAATGTGGATGTCCTGACTACTCAGCAGGTCCCTCAACATCCAGAGCTGACCTACCTCAGCTATCCTCTATCTCTGGATAAGGTAGCTACTGCCATCAAACAGATGAAAAATAACAAAGCCTCAGAGCCTGATGGAATCCCAGCCGAGGTGTATAAAGCAGGAGGACCTCTACTTACCAGCCGTCTCCACTCTCTCTTGGAGAATATATGGGAAAAGGAGGAAATCCCCCAAGATCTTCAAGACGCCTCCATCGTCAATATTTATGAGAACAAGGGAGACCAGTCAGACTGTGGCAACTACCGCAGGATCTCGCTGCTGTCCATAACTGGTAAGATTATCGCCCCAGTCCTCCTAAACAAACGTCTTCCTGAGGCGGAAAACTTCCTCCCAGAATCTCAATGTAACTTTAGATCATCACCTGGCACCACTGACATGATCTTTGCTGCCCGTTAGATACAGGAAAAGTGCAGAGAATAGGGTCGTGACCTGTACATGGCCTTCATCGACCTAACCAAGGCCTTCGAGTTGGCCAACAGGGAAGCCCTCTGGTGGACCCTCACCTGTTTTGGCTGCTCACCAAAATTCTTTGCCATTGTGAGGCAACTCCGCGATGGCATGAACGGCAGTGTCCTGCACAATGGCACCCAGTCTGAGTTCTTCCCCATCCAAATCGGGGTAAAGCAAGGGTGTGCACTGGCACCAACTCTCTTTTCCATTTTCTTGGCTGCCTTCCTTGCTTGTGTCAGTGCCAATTTAGCCGGCGGGGTGGACCTTGAGTACCGGATGAAGGGTCTTTTCAACATAAGACGACTCCAGGCAGGAACAAAGGTGTCGGTAGCCTCCATTACTGAACTTCAGTATGCAGACGACCTCACCCTCGTCGCTCACACTGAAAGCAACCTACAGGTGATCTTGAACACCTACGCAGATGCGTATGCACACTTCTCCCTTAAGGTGACTGTACGTAAGACTCAGATTCTCTTTCAGCCTGCCCCTGGTTCAGACACACCTCCACCATCCATCCAGCTTAACGGTACTACCCTCTCTAATGTTACCCACTTTCGGTATCTCGGCTCCCACCTGTCCACCACTGCAGACATCAATGAAGAGATTCAACATCGGATCAGATGTGCATCTCAAGCCTTTGGCAGAATCCTACGTGTCTTCAGTTGAAATTATCTACAAAGTTGCACGTATATCGAGCAGTGGTCCTCCCCACCCTGCTATATGGCAGCGAGACATGGGTCACATACAGGAGGCAACTCAAGGCACTTGAAAACTTTCACCAACGTAGTCTACGTTCCATCCTCCGAGTTCGCTGGGAAGACGAGAGAACAAATGCCGGTATTCTTGCTGACACCAACTGTAGGAGCATCGAGGCTACCCTTATCCATGAACAACTACGCTGGACTGGCCATGTTACCCGCATGGACGACAGTAGACTGCCAAAGCAGCTACTTTACAGTCACCTAACGAATAGTAAACTTAACGCTGTCGGACAACTGAAAAGGTATAAGGATAGTCTTAAGACAAACCTGAAAAATTGTCAAATTGGCCCCCCTCACCTGGGAGACGATTACTCCACACCGTAACGCTTGGAGGAGCACCACACAAGAAGGTGTCAATAATTTAGAGTTAGCCCGACTGCATACCGAGGCAGACAAGCACCAACGCCGGAAAAACGCTGCCGCCGCCTCTCCCGCACTAAATGTAGCCCTCCACACGTGCAACATCTGTGGACAGTACTGCCGGTCCCGTATCGGCCTCTTTAGCCACCTCAGAACTCACCAACGAAAGTGATATCCTTAATTACCTATATCATCGCATCATAGCTGGATGATCGTTATGCTGGAATCCGAGTAACAGCAAAGTATTAGCAGTAATAGTAGCTTCTCAACGAAAATTGTAGCCTTAAAAATAACCTTCTAATTTCTTCGTGTAAATTAAAGGTAAGAAAGGCGGGAGGGAAATAAGTGATCTGCCCATATTTTCATTATAACAACTGAAACAACAAGAATATTTTTATTATTTCTCTCACTCTCCACTTACCGAGTGTCGCTGAGCTGTCACCCATCCTGCCTGCGTGGCTCTCCTCTCTATCTCTCTGTGGAGGAAGATAAAGTGGCTGTTAGATAGATAAATATTCAGTAAAATTGGCATACAAGTTTACATTGATTCAGCATGTATATAGCCAATGCAGGTATACAGTTCAACATGTACTGTATATAGACAATGCATTATGCAGGTATACAGTTCAGCATGCATATAGATAATGCAGGTATGCAGTTTTTCCACCTAGTGTAAAGTGATGTATATTTTTTTTTATTCCAAATTTTCCTTAACTTAACACCGAGAGCAATAAATTGGTTATACTTCACTGCACCTGTACGGAATTGGATAATTTTCATTCACTTGCTGTACTAAGACGGTCACAGTTTAGAGCATAATCCAAGTATTAATGATGGAAATTTAACTCGCATACTTGACACTGTAAACTATTATTAATTTATCTCTTTTATCTGTCTGTTTGTCACGACGTCGTTGTTATACAGGTTAGGTTAGATCAGGTTAGGTTAGATTTGGTGAGTTTTGAGGTATTAATAAAAGAAGAATTCGCAGCTTATACGCTCGACTGCTTTGTGTTTTTTCCCAGTCCTTGGATGGCGTACTTCAAGGTGATACACAGGAGCTGCCATTGTTTATATTTTGAAGTACCTTAACAACCGCTCCTCATTACGACTTATTACCCAACTGAGGTAATTTCATACCTCATTTTAAAGACATAATAGACGTTAATAGCTCCATTAATATCATTGCTTGTAGCTTCTGAATATTAAAAAAAAAATCTAGTAAATTAATGTTGTGGTTTTAGAGGGTAATTGTGTATTTTATCTTCTGGGGAATCTTTTATTTTATTTTATGGTCTCTTTTTGACTGCTGTGTTACGTAATTCTTGTGAGTTAATGATGTTTATAGCCTCTTTGAAACTATGTTGGGGGGGGTCATGATGTGTGATTATTGTCTTAGGATGAGAGTGAGAGAGAAACATGAGGAAAGAATGGGAGAATTTAAGTGATGGAGAGAATTAAAGAGAGTTAGTAGAAGGATGGGGTGTAGAGAACGGGAGAATGAAGAGAGAACGGGAGGGTAATGAATGGAGAGAGAGAGATAGAGAGAGAGAACAGAAGGATAGAAGATGGGGAGAAAGGGAGAAGGAAAGAGAGAATTCTGAGCCTTTAAAAATCCGAGGCTTACAGTATCTTTTTGTCTCTTGTACTCTATGTGCTCGTACAACACACAAATGTCAGCACGGGCAGAAGGCGGGCGAACACACATGAAGGGTAACTAAGGCGCTGTTGATTACTCCTGCTGGCTCTTAAGAGTGAACTCCTTGAGCACGTTACTGTGAGCGTCAGGCGATATTCATTGCTCGTGCTGGCTTTAAGCGTGACTTAGACTCTTAGAGCACGTCAATGTGGGGGGAAGTGAATACCAGGCGGTGTTGATCGCTCGTCCTGGCAATGACATTTTTTTTTAACATGATATGAGGGTGAGCATGAGGGTGGCGACGTACAGTGATCAAGACAATGTTCTCCAGGACTCAACACAAGACATTAGTAACACCTCAGACCGTCGCTACATTCCCACACATTTTACCAGAGGTTGAGTGGAAGGTCTTGTGTCGCCAGCTGAACCGAAACACCAGCGTGAGGTTGCGAAGAATAAGCTCCCGGACCTAGCGAGGCGAGACTTGAGAAAATTTTACTTTTTTATTAAAGGAAACAATGGGATCATGTGAGGATTAGGCACCCCTTCCCCAGGTTAGTTCACCTTAAGGGGTAACACCGTGAGGAAGGCAGGGAAGGAAAGAGAGAGATGAAGGAGAGAGAATGAGGGAGGGAGGAACGAAGGAAGGAGAGGAGGAGAGTGTTGAACCTCGGATAAAAGCAGAGGGAAGCAGTGTTTCATCGAGGGAGGGAAGGAGGGGCAGGAAATCACGGAGTGTTGAACCGGGGAGGAAGGAAGGAAGGAAGGAAGGAGTAAGTTCACTACCGCCTGTGAAAGTGGTGTTGAGAGCGACGTGTACTGTTACTCTCCTTACCTCCGGGTGTTATTAGTAGTGTACAGGTGTGTGTGTGTGTGTGTGTGTGTGTGTGTGTTGACTTGCACAATATCATGCACACCTGCCTTCAAACTGACTTCTTTTACCTGGACTGTGTCGCCATATGACTCGGGAGGGGGGAAGGGGGGGGGGACAGAGGCGCAGTAACATTGTGGTAGAGGATCGTGGTGGTTGTATGATGGTGGTAGATGATCATACAGGTGAATATGGTGGTGGTGATGGTACATGGTGGTGGTGATAGCATGGGAGGCGGCTAGGGTGGTGATGGGTGGCCACGATAGCAAGTACAGAGTGGGATAACCATTTGTATTAGCCTGTGATCAAGGTCTCGGGTAACCATTAATTACCTGAGGTAGAGTTACAGGTGATGTATTGGGACGGACAACATACCAATGAGGAGGGAGGAAGGAGGGAAGGAGAAAAGGAGGGAAGGAGAGAGGGAGGGAAGTGGGGAGAGAGGGAGGGAGTGACCGCGATGGAGGTACTCTTTACGGTAACTCAGAGCTGGTGGTGTAACTGAAGCAACTAAAGCCTGATCGATGAATGGTAAGATGCAGAGGTAAGGTAAGGATATAGACTGAGGGTGTGGAGGTAGACTGAGTGGTGGTGATGGTAGTGATGGTAGTGATGGTAATAGTGATGGTAGTGATGCTAATAGTGGTGGTAGTGATGGTAATAGTGGTGGTAGTGATGGTAATAGTGGTGTTAGTGATGGTAATAGTGGTGGTAGTGATGGTGGTAGTAGTAGTGGAGGTAAGATAATGAGGTGTGGTGGTAGTAACCTGTATTTTACCTTAAGATTTGTGGTGTTATGTAAGAGTAGAGACGCCATGATGTTGACACCGCACTTGTTCTTGTTGTTAGAAAGTTATTGATGATATTCGTTATTTACGCTTTTTAACTAACGTAGATGTGGCGTTAAACTCTGTTCAGGATCATAAAGAAGTAACGTTATTAGGATCAACTCTCCCACTCCTTCCCCCACTACCACTTCTCTCTCACTCCTTCCCCCACTACCTCTTCTCTCCCACTCCTTCCCCCACTACCACTTCTCTCCCACCTCTTCCCTACTACCACTTCTCTCCCACTCCTTCCCCTACTACCACTTCTCTCCCACCTCCCCCTACTACCACTTCTCTCCCACTCCTTCCCCTACTACCACTCTCTCCCACTCCTTCCCCTACTACTCACTTCTCTCCGCTCCTTCCCCACTACTACTTCTCTCCCACTCCTTCCCCCACTACCACTTCTCCCACTCCTTCCCCACTACCACTTCTCTCCCACTCCTTCCCCCACTACCACTTCTCTCCCACTCCCTTCCCCCACTACCACTTCTCTCCCCTCCATTTTCGCATCCACTTCCGTGTTCATCAGTATTGTATTTCCTTCCCCTTCCACTTCCTCCTCCTCCCCCCCTCCCCTTAGGTGGTAGGGGAATGGGAGGGGAGATGGGTGTAGAGGGGGGGGGGATCTTGAGGGAGTTGTTATTACGTACTTCAAACAATTCTTGCACCGTCACTTCTCAGGTAAAGAAATGCATAAATAATAACAACGACAACAACGACATCTGAAGAATTGGTTTTGTTGATGTTACTGAAACAAGTGTAGCAAGGAACTAGTGTCTCAAGGAACTAGTGTTTTAAGGAACTAGTGTCTCAAGGAACTAGTGTCTCAAGGAACTAGTGTCTCAAGGAACTAGTGTTTTAAGGAACAAGTGTCTCAAGGAACTAGTGTTTTAAGGAACTAGTGTCTCAAGGAACTAGTGTTTTAAGGAACTAGTGTTTTAAGGAACTAGTGTCTCAAGGAACTAGTGTTTTAAGGAACTAGTGTCTCAAGGAACTAGTGTTTTAAGGAACTAGTGTCTCAAGGAACTAGTGTCTCAAGGAACTAGTGTTTTAAGGAACTAGTGTCTCAAGGAACTAGTGTCTCAAGGAACTAGTGTCTCAAGGAACTAGTGTCTCAAGGAACTAGTGTTTTAAGGAACAAGTGTCTCAAGGAACTAGTGTTTTAAGGAACTAGTGTCTCAAGGAACTAGTGTTTTAAGGAACTAGTGTTTTAAGGAACTAGTGTCTCAAGGAACTAGTGTTTTAAGGAACTAGTGTCTCAAGGAACTAGTGTTTTAAGGAACTAGTGTCTCAAGGAACTAGTGTCTCAAGGAACTAGTGTTTTAAGGAACTAGTGTCTCAAGGAACTAGTGTCTCAAGGAACTATTGTTTTAAGGAACTAGTGTCTCAAGGAACTAGTGTTTTAAAACTAGTGTCTCAAGGAACTAGTGTCTCAAGGAACTAGTGTCTCAAGGAACTAGTGTCTCAAGGAACTAGTGTCTCAAGGAACTAGTGTCTCAAGGAACTATTGTTTTAAGGAACTAATGTCTCAAGGAACTAATGATTGTGTCTGGTATTAAGGACATTAGGAGGTCCAATGAGCTGACAGGTTAAGGGTGAGTGAGTGAGGAGACGACGAGCGGGTGTTGGTGTCACGTGTCATGAGGTTAGTGTGTACCTCCTCTCATGATGAAACTGGTTTGTCATGAGGATAGTGTGAAGTGTTTTTCATGAGGCTGATGTGAACGGTCATGAGGCTAGTGTGAACTCATTAACAGCCATGAGGTTGGATGTGAATAGTTACGCATGTACTAATTATTATGAAGCTGGAGTAAATTGTCATAAGTTCAGAAACGTACAAATGAATAATATTTCGTACTGACAAGACGAAGCCACAGTCGGACAACCAGTTCACGCAAATTGCCCATTTCTCAAACTTCCATCCTCGACTATTACTGACTTGTGTGGGCCTCCTTCAGTAGTCAGTCAGTAGCACCTTAGATATGGCAGTGATGGTGTTGGAGTCTCGCGTCTTACGAATCTATAATAATTTACTGAGTTATTATATTTAACCAGTAAGTCTTCCTTCTTGTAATACTTCGGTTTAGTAATGATAATATTTGTAGCTTTTTATGTGTTATTATAGGAGGCATTACT